GTTCTGGCACTCTAGTGCTTTGCTGCCCTCCAGGTTGATATTTGATAAGTGCATATTTCACCAACGTGGTATATAGATATTTCCTCCTGCACTCACTCTTTCTCTTACCAGTGATTTAAGGAATGCTCATCAAGTGTCTTTCAGTTGCTTGCTTTATTGGCAAGGCAAGCATTTATTGTAGGGCTTACATGAAATAGGAGTATTTCTCCCTTCCCACTTACCTTTGACCTAAAACTGTAGAACCTCAGTGTTAAAATGTGTTAGAACTGAGGAAGGAGTGCTTCAGGCTGGGCTACCTCACCCAAATGATGGGGAGAGGCTTCAGAGACTTCATTCAAAACCATTCTTCATTTCTTCTGTTTTTTTTGTTTTTGTTTTTGTTTTTTTTTAATGAAACTCACTTCTGCTTACTTATGTATTTTTCATATATTTGATAATGGAATGATAGTCAAAGTATGTAAAATTTGTATAAATGTGTGATTGATAAAAATTGTACATATTTATAGAATATAAAGTGGTGTTTTGATATATGTATTGTTATAGCTTGTGTCTAGATGCCTCAGGTGGTCACAGGTGGGGCTTTTTCAGAGATGGCTGAGTCTAGAGCATGTAATTGATTCATGGTACAATGCTAAGATTAAGGGTGCTAGGACTGATACTGGTTTAGCACCACCCTAATCCCAGTAGACTCAATATGGTGTAATGGACAGAAAGAAGCTTGTCTTGGCCCCTTGCTTGCTTTGTTACCTTCTACCCTCCATAAACTGTTCTCTTTTGTGATGCTTGTCTGCCATGCCACCCTGTCTTAAAGCCAGCCGAAACCTTTATATACAGTGAGCCAAATAAACCTTTGTTCCCTTAATTTTGGGGCACTGGGTATTTTGTGTCAGCAGTGAGAAAAGTAGCCAAGATGTGTACACTGTGAAATGATTAAATTAAGATAGTTAACATAGCCTTAGCTGCATATAAGGTATTTTTGTGCTGGAAATATTTAAGATCTATTGTCTTTGCAATTTTTGATTATATAAGATGTAAATACTAACTCTAAATACGGTGATATGCCATATATCTTCAGAACTAATTCATCATAAATGAAAAGTGGTTCCTTTAACTAACATATCCCCAGTCCCCTTGGCAACTACCATTTTACTCTCTGCTTCTATATAGTATAATTGAGAAATATAGTGTGCATTTACATTTTAAAAAATGTTTTACAGTAAAACCTCTCTTCAAGTACATTTATTCCATCATTTTTACCACTCTCTGAAGCAGTTCTGGATGTTCCCTTTCTGTCTTTAGTTGCACTGTTAATGCCACCTCAGTGTTCTGAATTAATTCAAAACATTTACTTTTCAAGGTCATTTTGATTTTGGGGAAGTGCTACAAGTTATGTGGTGCTAGGTCCAGTGAATAGTATGGGTAAGATAGATGACAATTCACTGTAATTTTTTACAAGCCTGCCTTGCTTCTGTTGGCTAGCAGTTGGCAGCAGCATTCACTGTATTTTTTATCATAGAAAAGACACCGAAGTGGTTTTTTTTTAATATATATACAGCTCTGTTCATTTATTAAAGGTAAAAATCATAGAACATGTATTGCCGGGACATAGGGAAATAAATAGTTTAAAGACTTTTGATACATATTTACGAATCTATTCTCCTAGTGGTTATATAATTTAAACTCTCACCAGTGTGCTATAGAAAGGATCTGGGGTTCTTTTTATCACAGAATTGTCATCAGTGATTTTGGAGGTGAACTAACTTTTGATATCTGAGATGATAATTCTTCAGTTTTGGTAGTTCAGGGTTGGCTAATTGTTCTCAGTTAAAAGTGTAGCAGCAAAAATGAGGGCAGGAGAAATAGGGCAAGTAAAAATTGCAAAAATGACATTTATAGAGTAGCATGCATTGTCTGGAGGAGAATCCAGGGCTCAAAGAGAATTTGACCGTATTCTCCACAGCCCAGTGAAGGACCTGAATGTGGTAAGGGCAGCTCCTGAATACAAAGAAAAAGAAAGCCCATTTGAACTAAGCTCTGGTTTAAAAAGACTGTTAAAATTTTATGTTTTAAACTATTAAGAATTTAAAGACACTAACTACCTTCCTGGGGAACATTAAATGTTCATATTAATTATTTACTATAATTATTTAAACATAAATTGAATTTATAAAGACTTTCTGGAAGTTACTACTAATCATCTTTCAGTTAAACAGAGAATATGTTTAGGAAACAGAATGCTTTCCAGTAGCAACACTCTGATTCTCTAGACACCAGCTAAATATCCAACAGTTAAGTTCCATTCTGACACTAACTACCTGAAATTAGCATCAGATTCCACAGGTTTATGGGCTCAGTTCTAAAAAAAATACTCTCAGTTCAGGCACCTGCTGTAAGTATTGGAGTTTTAATGTTATCTTCAATCTGTTCATCTTGGCTTCAAAGTCAGAGGTTCTGCAATCTATCAATCAGGTTTGTTAATTTGCTAGAAAAACTCATAGAACTCAGAAAAGTGTTCAGCTTATCATTAGTTTACTCTGAAGAGTACAAATTAGGAAGAGCCCATGACAGTGTTACTTAGAGCCACCTTTAGGGTGGAGTCCACAGACCTCTGTCACCCCTCAGGAAGCTCCACCCTCCTAGCACTTTCCTAAGTTTTTTTTTTATTCCATAGGAATGATTCATTAACTTTATCTTTGGTCCCTCTTACCTGACTGGAGCTGGAAGGGCAATAATTCCTAATTTATAATTGAGGATTGGTTTTTCTAGCAACCGGCCCTATTGAAGCAGTCTGGGGGTCTGCCAAGACTTAAATGATTAGAATAAAAGAATACCCTACCACTCAGGGACTGCTAAAGAATTTAGGAACTTTGTGTTAGAAAATTGGAGGCAAAGGCCTAATGCACACAAACTCATATTTCCTTCCATCAAATTATAAGGAAACATATTTTTATCTTCCTAATGGCAATTTGCGGATAAGCATTTTATCCTAACATTAAAAAAGTAAGTGTTCATAAATACACACACATTCGCATAGCAAGAAACAGCTTTAAATGCTTGCTTCTTTGTGTTTGTAGGTTGTAGATCTGTGTGTGTTGTCAATATTATTTACAACCCACAAACCTGTCCCATGTACTTCTGTTAGCAATCGTTTCTACTCATTTGTGATCCAGTTCTAATGAATGTTCAGACAGATGACTCTGAGATAGTTATAATAATGTGATAGTTATAATTCAAAAGGACTGGATAATTTGATCATTTTTGTGGTGACTGATATTCAGCATGATTTTAAGACTATTAACAAATTGCATACAATGACTTAAATATCAGAACATTTAACCTTAAATGTTAAAACCTTGCTTAAATCGATTAATTAAATATGTCTAAGATGACTGGGAGTTGACTGGTTTTAACTGGTGTTAATGAACCTTTTTCTATCTTTCTTTAATCCTGTATTCCTACTATTCATAATTAAGGTGAGATTCTTTTCTAGATGAAACACCTTTGAAGAGGTTATAATTTTATTGGGGGGGTTCAGTACAGTCTTATACACTAGCAGCCTTCCAAAAAGAGTTATCCATGTGTCTGTGATGTGCATGTAAGTGCTCCTCTGAGAGTAACGATTGCTGGAGTCCACTGCTCCCGTCCCTGACAGAGCTGACGGAGGGCAAGCCAGCCAGTGAGGCGGTGGCTGTAGAAGCTAAGCTGAGCGGAGCTATCAACCTGACTAGTGTATCCATCTTCATGCTACGCAGTCCTTGTTGAATTCAGCTGCTGGGAATGTTTAAAGTTATGGCAGCTGTACTTTAATTTTGGAAATCTGTTTTCCAGCAGTTTTTACTTAACTACTTATCCATCCCTCTTTTCAATATTGAAAAAATTAATTCTGCGATAAACATATTATAAACATCCTCCTGTCTACTTAAAACTTTCTCTAGATTATTATGTCTAACACATGTGAATAGTTGTTACATGGAATTGTTTAGACGACATTGACAAGAAAAAATTGTATGTATTCTGTGTAAATGCAATTTTTATCAGAAAGTTCTGATCTCAGGTTGGTTGAATATGTGCATGTACATATAGAACCTGTAGATTAGAAGTACCTACTGTACTTTTAATTATGCGTTAATTTTTTTTCATTTAGTACATTTCATGAACAAAGCCCCCATAGTAATCCCCAAAAGCATGGTGAAGCCACAAGGGGCTTACACTTCAGTAGAGATGGCGATTGTAAAACAATTACTTTAGTAGCGTGTCATGTTGTCCTCTTAAATACATTCATGCTGTAAAACTGTGAGACATTCTTGGTTTGGAAAGATATATTCCAGGTGGCATTTGGGAATCTCTGAATGTACAGAATCAAAGGAGATTTACAACTTAAATGATGCAGATATTTAAAAGATTGCTCTCTGTACAGATCAGAAGCAGGTGATTAAAGCCAGGAATAACAGATAAAAGATATAGAAAGGAATGCAGAGTTTGGAAGCAGGGGCTCTGAGACTTAGCAGAAGGGATTGGAGCAAAGGAAGGGCTTCCACTGAAATGGGTGATTTAATGTAATGGTTATGATTACCCAGTGGGCTCTTTTCAAAATGTAAGAGCCTCAGTGCTCCTGTAATTTGGTGAATCAAAACTTTGGACAAATGAATCAAGCACACATGTATTTTAAAAACTCCTTCAGTGATTATGATGTGTGTTTCTGGTTAAAAACCACTAAATGAATTAATGTGATTTTTTTCCACTGCAAGAAGTTGTCAAGTTGTCTAACCTACTAGTTTGAATCTTAATATACTTAATATGCAATTGTATGAGCTTTTCTTCTGCATATTCTTCTCATACAGTTTTCACTTTCTGAGAAATTTCTTTTCTGTTACTTGGTACCAAGTTGTTTTTAAAACTTATTAATGAGTATTACTCTGCAAAATCAATTTTGAATGAATAAAATGCACTGTCAAAGTTTAATGGACTTTCTGTAACTTGTTTTTCTAATTAAATAATAGGAACAAAAGCCAGGATGGATGTTCAAACATGGCATTTGAGAGCTTCAAAGCTGGCTATAGCCCTGGCAATTATTCGCTCCAAGCCAGCAGACAAAAGCAGTAGAGAATACACAGAGCACCTCGCAACACTGGTGTCTGAGCAGGATTCAAACTGCAGATCAAAAGTTGAAGCCTTGGAAGCTGAAGTTCTGCAACTGCGTCAAGAAGTTTTTCTGAGCAAGATTTGTTCAAGATTGTTTAAGAGTGGTAAGTGGATGGAATCAGTTTCAGTAATACATCAACTCATTTCATTCCACCTGCACAATTGTTTAAAAATGTATTGTCAAAACATGAAACAGTTTAACTTCCTTGACAGTTAGGCTTCTGGGCCAATAAGAATTTTTTTTTTTTATTTCTAGTCACTGATTAAAGGGTTATTGTCACTATATACTAAATAGAGTTACCTTTGGGATGAAGGTAAGGAAATGAAAGTAGTTCCATATAAAGGGGATAATGTTTTAACATTTTCTAAAAAAAATTCATTTTAAATTCTCATTGTTCAACTTTACTCTTTTGCTGCAGCATTCACCTTGCAGTCATACACCAAGGTTTAGCTCTTGACCAGGCAGGCAGTGGATGATGAAAACTCTAGATCATTTCAGAATAAACGCTGTTCTCCCCATTAAGTCCCTGCCATTCTAGCAGGGAGAACAGACCCATGGATAAACGAGTTGTTCTCTTACAATAGAAAGACTGACAAAAATGCAAATAGGGAGCAGTTGATTCTGGTTGGTTTCTGGGAAGGTTTCTGAGGTTTGGGCTCTAAGGGTCTATCTGCTTGGCAGTGAAATGATTGCAGAGGCCAGAGCGTGAGCACAGAGAGTAGAGTGGAGCATGTGTGTTCTGTGCTGTGTGCCACCAGCGTTGTATTTCAGAGTTACTGTAGTACTTCAAGATGTAAGACAAGAGATGTGACAGGGCAGAGAGAAGGAGGTGATTAGGAACAGTTCCAGGAGAGCACTTAGTGTCTGCTGTAGGAATATTTCACTGTATTACTTCCACACTGAGTTGATCATACTGTTATGGTCTCCATTGGAACACTTGTGAGAGTGAAAGGGAGTCTGTACTTACCCTGGGAAAACTGGCAAACTAGGACTCACTTGAGCAAATTACAAGTTGCCTTACCTCATTCATGGGTACTCAGGGGAGCCGTGGCAATTTCTCAAAGTAATACTCGTTTTTTGATAGGGAAACAATTCTGGCAATTTAAAAATAAATCATATTATACTTTTTCTTTGCAGAAAACTCTTTCCCTGGCTTCTAATTTTACTTCACATTAAATTTGGACTTGCGATAGTGGCCCCAAAAACTGTAGGTGATGCCATGTTTGTTTACTCTTCTCATGTCATTTGATGTTCCCTGCCCATTATAGATGTGGTGCAGCCAACATGGCCTTTCCTTCAGCCTTTAAAGGCTCTTTTTTGCCTGGAACTCTATTGTGCTCTTCTCCCTCTCTTTCTCTGGCCTCTTTTTTTTTTTCTCTGCAAGTTATTTTTAATTCTACCTCCTCAAAGAAGTGTTCCCAAACCACTGTGTATATAGGTTATTATGTCATTCCCCAGTAGTTATTCCTGAGATAAGCACCTCCTATAGATTTGTTTATGTATTCAGTAGGTTGCTATCTCCTGAACAGGAATCTAAATTCACTAAGAGAGGTCTTTGATTTTCACAGCGTTTTTTATGCAATGCCCACCTTAAAGACTGTTATACAGTGTGTCAGGGTGTACTAGAGGAACAGGTTTGAAAGTCAAGGCCGGAGCTCACTGCAGTCTGGTATGAGTCTGTATGAGTCTGGTGTGCACTGTCAGTGCTGGGAGCCTGAAGAACCTGAGCTGGAAGCCTGCAGCAGCTGGAAAGGAAAGTTCAGAGGCAATGAAAAAGACAAGAACTCCTCTAAAGAAGCACAAAGAGTTGGATTCCTTCTTTCCTTTTTTATTCCGTCTAGGCCGCAACCCTGTTGGTTGGTGCCACCCACATCCAGGGTGAGTCATCTGTTTTCAGTTTGCAGATTAGGAACCATCCAGACACACCCACAATTGAGCTCCACTAGCTCTAGGCATTTCTTAACTCATTCTAATTGACCCCATAATTAACTGTCACACACAAAAGGTGCTCAATAAATATTTGTTCACTGGAAACAGAGGATGTTTATGTTAAGGAAAGGATGTTTTGGCTGTAGTGGTCAGTGAAGACCCAAGGAGCAGTTTTCAAAGCTTAGGTACTAAAGCCCATGTAATGATTTGAATATTCCCACTAAAACTCCCATTAAAGTATAATCTTTATTTTGAGATATTTGCAGGTGGGGCCTGTAAGAGGTGCTCAAATCATGAGGGCTGCACCTTCATGAATGGATTAGTAGATTAGTGAGTTATCTTGAGAGGGAATCTGTTACGCAAAGTCAGTTTGGTTCTCTCTGCGGTGTGCATGCCCCTCGTCCTGTGGCTGTCGTCTCTGCCTTGGTACTGTGCACTCTGCAGTCTCCACTACCAACAAGCCTTTCCAGAGGAAGTCCCTGGACTTTGGGCCTTTGGAGCTATAAGAGGAACAAATCTTTGTAAATTACCGAGTCTCTGGTAGTCAGTGATAGCAACAGAAACCTGACTAAAAACAGCAATTTGTAGAATGATGCATTGCACAAGGTTTATGATAGTGAACATTTAAAAGATTTATGAAGGATTTCAGAGTAGACCTTTCAGACACTGTGAATAGGTTTAGAAAGTGATTCCAGAGATGTAGATATTTAGGATAATGTAGCTTTCCAGCCTAGTTTATGAAATAGATTATGAGACTTTGTACACAGTGAACACAGAAGTAAACTCATATAATAAAAGTTTTCTGAGTGGAAGCTAATCCCTGGAATATATAGGATTATCTATAAGGAAGCTAGTTGTATGATCTGAAATCTTAGAGAGAATGATCAAGCTATCCATAGGTTATCTATAGATTCAGGAGTTTTTGGCTTGTAAGTAACAGTTGAAGTCATACCTGTAGTGGAAACTCACAAGGAGATTGAGTTGTGTGGGTGGGTGTGGAAGGTTTGCCTATTCAAACATTGCAGGAGCAAGAGAGGAAGAGGCGGCCTGATTGTCTGGCGTGTGCAGGTGTGGCACACATATGCTTGTGAAGGCTCTCATTATCATGCGTTATCTTGAGAACCTTGTGACCTAATACCCAGGGGTTGCTGAACTCTCTAGCCACATTTTGGTCTCTTTGGAGTTCTTGGTGGGCTCTTTGAGTATGCTCAGTGAAGGAATGGCCAGTCTAACCAGTTCTTCTCTTCATTTTCTTTCTGTACAGTTGCAGAGTTAACAAATGGTAAAAAGTTCCAGAAACGCTAAGCTCTCCTATAAATATCCCTGGTGGTGAACATGTTCTTCACCATTCGTGGTCTATTAATAACCCTGGTACAGTATGCATATTACTTGTTTTTAACATGAGTGTGCATAACATACAGTAAGATAACTTATTTTCTAACTGAACAATTTTAGTTTCAGTGGTGGAAAGAGAGTTTTTCAAAAATTATACAATTAAAATCAGTTTTACTTGTAGTAGGGTTGCAGGTAAAGTGTTCCAGTGCAGATGTTTGGAAGTACTCTGTCTCTCCATCTGTTGCCATAAAGTTGAAAATGAAGAATATGTGGCTGTATTAGGATTAATGAAGTAATTGTTAAAGGGGAGACTCACATATGAGACAAGGGGGTGGGGTATCAGATTGATAGGAAAATAGAGAACATAGCAGTTACTGAAGACTGACATTCTTTGCTCTAGAAAATTCCACACCTGAAAATCAAAACTGTGTTATATAGATATATTCATATTATTAAATATTTCTAGATGGAATGTTTAGGGTTACTTTACATGTGCAACTATTCTTGCATGTTTGAAAACAGCAGATTGTCAATAAATGTTGAATTGAATATTTGTCAGATTGAGAGGCTAGGGAACTTAATTTATAACATCAACTATCCATTGAAACAATGGAGCAGTCCAGAATTAAATAAAGCAGAGTTGAAAGGGCAAAGTTAATAAGTAAGGAAGTATGATGCGGTTTATACAACCTTTCAGCACTTGGCTGTTTATTCTGATTTATTTTTCTATAGCTTCTTCAAGAGGAGTGTTTGGAGTAGCCAAGGCAACTCTTAAGATTACCTTGTTAGGAATTTATACTTCTTTATTATATTAAGAGATCAGGCTGTACAGAGAAGGGATAAATACAGTTTGATTTTATAATTATAAATATTCTTTTACATATTTCTTTTACCTAATACATACTTCTTTTACTTAAATGTTCATTACTAGTTTAAAGAAGGAGAGGAGGGAGCGAAGGAAAGGGGAGGAAGGCAGACAGGCAGGCAGTCATATTTCTCAAAATTTTTTTAGTGATATGTGGCAGACAGGTCTACAAAATAGGCAACTCCTGTCCTTGTTTCTAAAACACTCCAGTTTTATCTGGGAAGAAATGTGTTCATGCCCATAACTTTAGCCACAAAAGGCTTAGACCTGTTTTGTCAGTTTTGATCTAAGTTTGAGCAAGATGCTACCTCTGGCCAGTGAAAGGTAAAGAGGAATCTTTTGAGCTTGTCATAAAGATTTGCTGTTTGGGTAAACAGATAGAGACTAAGGAGTGTAAGTAATCTTAAAAACATTTTACCTCAGCCTCTTGTTTCCAAAATGGAGCACTTTCCCATAACGATATGATGGAACTGTGGTAGCTGTTTTGCAATTAACAGGCCATATTGAAAAGTTAGGGCCAACATGCTAAGGAAGGTAGGCCAGCAGGGTAAGAATAGTTTGCAGTAGCCAAAGCAACTCTTAAGATTACCTTGTTAGGAATTTTTTAAAGGTAGACAATGGTTTAAGACATTGTTACCATATATCTTGTTCCTTAGGTCTGAGCTCGTCCTATCTTACACAGTGGGGAAGGAGTGGGGGTTGTGAATGAATGACTGAATGAATGAGAGTGATACTTTCTCTCTCAAGAATCTTCCTGATCCCTGGAGAGAAAATAAAACAGAAAAACTGTGTTCTTTAATCTAGAATAGCTCCTGTTAAAGATGGCCTCATAATGTTGGGAAGAATTTGTCTAGTTTTGAGGAGATAGGTGAGGGAAAATGAAAGCATAGAGTACAGTCAGGAAGGCATGTGGCTGTCCTTACCCTAAATGTAGAAGGGGTATTGAGAACATGGTTAGTGGGAAAATTGTATAG